AGGGGAGGCTAGTCGTGGGGTTAGCGAACAATAACCCGTAAAGAGAACGCAACCACCGCTACTGAAAGCCCAAAGTGCTTGTAGCTCTATGTTCCACCGGGAACGCAAAGGAATAAAAAGTAAAGATAATTAATTGCTCATCATAGGAAGCGCTATTGAATGATTTTAAGTAAATGGATTACATAATAGTTCATTAGTTACATCCGTTAGTATTGGTAGCTGGAGAGTGTTAAATATTGACACACGTCTGTCTGGATTCAACATAGAACTTGGCACCGAAGTGCACCAGTTCGAGTTGCCACGTTCCAAATAGCACACAAACGTAGACAAGAAAATGAGTGAAGAGAATCAATAGAGTTTTGACAAGTATAAGAGTGAAACAGAATGAGTAATGGTAGAAAGGAATATGAAAGATTATAGAGACTGAATACATCTGCGTAAGCCATTGACAACGATTTTGAGCCATGTCACCTAGTGTCTCCAGCCACTGATTCTTAGAGTCCCGAGGGCTCCAACCCGGAAGTCTGCATCTCCCTACCTGACTCAGTTTAACTGTCAAGCATTTCATGGATTGATGCCATGGTTTTGTTTGACCGCCACTTACTCTTTTCCAACCTGCACCTATATCAGCTAGTAATGCCCGTCCGTCGGGGGAGGCGATGGTTAGGCATGCGCAGCACGTGACCCAGCCATCTCAATCTATGTAACTTTATAGCCTCGTCGATTGATTTTCCCTCTTTGCCCAACACTCTACGCCTAACGTTAACATTACTTACCTTATTATACCACCTAAGGTGAGAAGGAGATCGTAGACATCTATGATCAAAAGCAGTCAACCTTTTCATGTCTTCAACTCGTATTGGCCATGTTTCAGAGCCATAGAGAAGGACGGAGCGAACTTCTGAGCAGTACATACGTCCCTTGGTTGATAGCCGGATGTCACGCCTACGCCAGAGATGGTGTAAGTTAGCGAAAGGGGCTCGAGCTTTTTGGATCCGTGCTGAGATTTCGTTGCCAATCAGTCCGTTGGTGCTGATACAACTTCCCAAATAGGTGAAGTGGTCAACATGTCATTTCACTTCACTCCCTATCACTAAGCTAGGAGTTGAAGTGGTCCAGTCCTGTAGTAGCATCTAACATTTTACAGGGGCGAATCGCATGCCAAACATACGAAGATTGCTGCTCAAGGTGTTCAGAAGACTCTGCATTTTGTCAGCATCCTCCCCTAACAGGACTATGTCATCTGCATATTCTAAGTCCATAAGACTATTCCCTGGTAACAAGTCGATTCGTAAGTCGTTAAGTTCAGTTAAGGATACTTCCATTAGCATATCTATGATGAAGTTAAACAGGAATGGGGAAAGTGGACATCCTTGACGGACACCACTGGTTGTTATCAATTCAGATGACAATTCTCCATAATCTCTTACATGGCTACGTGAATTTGAGTAGAGACTGACACACGTAGCTCTACAAGGTTTTCTATTACTTCCTATGAAATCAGGTTTTCATTCCATTGTCTGTTTTATTTTATTTCATCTATCATGGATAGTCTTGACATCAGAAATCAAATGCACCTGTCGCCTGTTGTTAGATAAAGAATCTGAATATTGTATAGATTTATGTATCATTCTGAAACGTCTGGTTTCATTTAAGTTCTCGGATCAACTCGAAAGATATGTTTCGGTATTTTATCCACTGTCTCTCTATCTATCTATATATCTGTCTATCTCTGTGTTCACCAGTGTTTCAGTTGTTCTACTTATCAATTTCAGTCAATATCAGTATAACTGCTTTTACTACTTTTTCAAAAGTTTTCATCAGTCAGTATCACATGTTGTGACGGTTATCTTGTCTTGTTTTCACTACTCTGAGATATTATTGTGTGGTCAAATGAAATTCATAAGATGTCTGGTTTCTTTGTGTTGATTATGTGTTCAATAAAAAAGGCATTCATTATGGATAAAATTTATTTTGATAAAGTTACACAGTGTTAATATACAGTAATATTTACTGATGACCAAGTTTCGAGCATAATTTATTGCTCATAATCGTATCAACATACTGATAAAACTTTCCAAATTCTTTTATATGTTTCCACTATTTCTCATCTCTTGATCTGAATGATGACATTATTTTCCATATTTCTGATATGAGTGATGAGCCATTCCTATTGCATGTGTTGGATGTAGATTCTATGAAGAAAGATTTAGTAATCTACCTCTCTCCACCTACTGATATTACTTCTTAGAATTTTAACCTTCTCCCACACTATTCTGTGGTTGTGTGTTAATGGCGTTGGTGGCACAATGGTTAGGACTCTCGCCGACCATGCACATGGTCCGGGGTTCGATCCCCTGCCGACGCACACCCGATATCTATGGTCAGCCTGCAAAATTTGGTCTACCGATATCCATGCTGAAAATTCCATACTTGTACTGAAAATACGATGTGGCATCAAGCTGTAATCAACAAAAAAAATAAATGTGTGCAGTGAGATTGCTGAGTTTTTTCTTCTAAATTACTTATCTTCTCGGCGTCAATCATTTTTACCTTAGCTAAATTCTTATGTTCTGACAATCTGAGTACCCCCGATCTACTAGTTTGACCCAAATAGTTGACCTCACAGTCATTGCAAGGTATTTTGTAAATCACATTATTTTGTCTGATTGGGTCCACCGGGTCCTTTAACCTACAGAACTTGTCCTACCTGAGTGAGTTTGTAGGTTGTAAAGGCTTGGAAATTTTCCACGTACATTTAGCCAATTATACTTGTGAATCAACTTGTATCATATACCTACCATTCGTAATTTAGAGAGTAAGTGTTTAAGATTTTCAGACTGTGATGTTTTATAAGTTCGTCGTCTGTCTACAAATTCTCGTCATAGATATAAATAATCAGGATGACTTCTGTTAATTCGTACTTAGTAAAGTACCTTGTAATACATAAACATAATTTTTGACGAACTTTAATCTCCTATAATGTAACAACGACATCGCACTAAAGTGCATGTTTTGGGCGTAGGTACATCTCCTTTATGATTCTATTCACTGCTTACAGTACTATTACTTTTAATAATTCTTTCTTCTGTTAAATGACGAATTAAAATATTATATCATCAGTGATAATCATTTCTCGTTTGAAATCGATGTTGAGTTAACTCTGATTGACTTCAAGTTTAGATATGATGGGGGAAGATTTGTAGCTCAGGTGGATGATTTTCATGTAGTTGTGTTCTCTCAGCTGAGTGGTTTATTTGCGAAGCTTTCATTGCCCTACTAGACAACATCTTCAGCGCATACTTCAATTTGTTAAAGTGAGCTTTCAGATTTCTCCACAAGTTTATTAGTCGTCTCTTTTGGTGACCTTGCACGTGATTGGTCGTTTTTGTGTGTTTTCACACCGTCTAGGCTATTCGTATTCGTATTGGTTGTTTCCTTGACATAAATTTTGACCCTTTGTGTGTGTGTGTGAGATTTCCTTCGTATTGCTTACCAATCAGGAGCTTCTCAAATAAACCATCCAGCTCAGAGAACATAACCACATGGCTTCAAGTTTAAGCATAGATTGAAATCAGTTACAGAACCATTGAAAATCAGGGAGTACTGGATGGCTGTTTCTTTTTAGTTTGCAACTTTTCAGCGGTACGAACCCATGACCCTATCAGGGATCAAATCCACAACCGTCGGGTTATGAGATGAACCTGTTGATTACTCAGCCACTGGGCGAGAGTCTAGTAGCCCATGAATTGTAACGTCTGTCTATTCACGGCCACTGAGGTCCAGCAGGTTGGGTGCGTGGATAAAGACTCTTCGATGACATTGGCTGGCGTTGGACTAAAAGTCGCGTATTGACAGAAGCGAGAATTTGTAGCCGCTTGGAATCCGTTTCAGTGCAGTGACTGAATGGCGGGTACATACTTCTGAAGAGTCCGAAACAAGGACGAAACAACTATCCAGTTCTCCCTGGTTTTCATTGGTTCTTTAACTGATATCAATCTGCGATCAAACTTGAAACTAATCAGATCCCTGCAAATTAGCACTTGAAAATTAACTGTGATTACTTTTATGGGGATGAATCAGCTTAATTCTTCAAACTGCAATGGGTTTATTTAGTGCATTCTAAATTATTGACACCATACTTTTTTCATACTCTGTTGTATAGATTAGTGAAATATCAGAGATTGAGAAAGCAGTGGAAGCCTTTTACTCATATACACTTCAGTTTTTAGTCTATTAGTAAAAAAAAGAAAGATATTTATTCTCTACTATTACTTTCTGTTTATTTTATAATGTTATTCTCCTGCATATTCCCACGATTCTTATTCTTTATATCCTCTTAGAGGAGATCATAAATTTTGAATGTGGTTCAACCTGTCCAACTGTTCATTCCATCGATTCACCGAATTCTGATATTGCTCCTCTGAACACAACAACAATATCTGCTTCATCAGCTATAGCAACTTGTTCAACAGTCCCATCAAGTACAATTAATCCAAGAATATCAGCTAATTTGGTGAAGAGAAGACGTAGATTTGATTATGGCAGTACACTGAATTCAGATAATATTATACAAAATAATCTTAATAGTCATAGTCTACAAATTCAATCCATTCCCGTTGTTGATTCAGGTAAACTGAGTGTGAATCCTTTCCGCACCCTCACGAAATTCACCACTACCTCCTTCTTCATAGTATATAAATAAATATACAAGTATATTTATTTCTGCCTGCTTTTTTGTTGTTGTTGATGTTGTAATCGTCGTCAGTTATATGTATTATCTCCCCTTCTGCTATAAAAGTCGTCATTGGTTGCCTTTTCCTTGTTGCCCCTCTGCTGATTTCTTTTACTTCTTATGCCCTGAGTACTATGTCGATTCTATATTTCTTTTTCTTTCTTTCTTTCTTCTTTTTAACCGTTTTTCATTATCGTCATGCATGCTTGTTTTTTAGTGTCCAGCATGTTTATTTGCATCTTTTCAAGGTATATTCTGTTTTATTTGTTGTTGTTGTCTTTATCCAAGGTTAACTGAACATCTGTTGTTTCTTTTCTGTCCTTTTTTCCCCCTTCTAATTCACAGCCTCATATGAAAATCAAGTATTATACGATGCTCAGTCGAAAGTTTCTCTGGAAGATTTGAAGAAGGCAGCTAAAAGTACAAGGAATAAAAAGCCCATGCGTCCAGCTGATTCTACTATTCCACAAAATTCATCTGACAGTATAAGTATATTTAGACCATCGCATACTGGTATACATCATCAGATATTAAGTTTACCACAAGATTATCAGAGTATCGCGTTAACTAATTCAGTGGAATCAAATATTTATTGTCGTAATTCTTCACCTCATCAAACTCCAACAGTTGAAACACAAGGCTTTCATGGTTGGTTCAGTTCAACTGATGAAGATGAAAATGATGATCCTAGTGGGAGTAATGAAGTGGGATTAAGAAGGCAAAAGAAACAGCAAACATGCACTAGAAATTCTAGCCGAAAAACAATGTCATCGAATTTAGGATATTCTAAAATGGTTGGTCAGGAAAATCCGACTATATCACAGCAACCAATTGCTGTAATCTCTTGTAATAATAATAATAATACTAACAACGTTAGTAATAATAAAAATAATAATCGTGGAGGTAAAAATGATAAACAGCAAAGAAATTTAAACGATACCGCAAGCACTAGTCTAACTGAAGAACCGATTGATATGAACTCAGAACTTGTTCCCATGTACAAAATGAATGTGAGTTTATTGATTTTGTACAAGTGGTTCGTTACAGATTCAGTTTGATTGTGTGTTTTTATTAAAACAGAGATTTGTAGCTCAGGTGGAAATTTTCTTTTGGAGTTGTTGTGTTGTACGAGACTGATGGTCTAATTATTACCATCTGAACAGCAACAGTTATTTCTTGAATTGTTTACTCAGACTAAATATGACTCACCCACCATTGTTTTAAATATCCAATAGTGCGTCGGTGGCACAGTGGTTAGGACTCTCGCTGACCATACACATGGTCCGGGGTTCGATCCCCTGCCGGCGCATACCCGATATCTATGGTCGGCCTGCAAAATTGGGCTACCGATATCACATGCTGAAAATTCCATACTTGTACCAAAAATACGGTGTGGAATCAAGCTGTAAATAAAAAATAAAAAATATAACATCAAACAAGCAGAAAGAGAAACTTAGGGATCTATTGATTTGATTGCATGGAGGATTTCATCATGAGCTTACATCAGTTAGGGAACCACTGGAAAACCTGCACGGAGTACTGGACGGCTGTTTCGTCCTAGTTTGGGACTCCATCAGTACACAATCACCGGGGTTCGAACCCAGGACCTGGTTACAATGCCATGACCAATAGGGTACAGCAGGTTGAAGATGAGGCAGTAACTCATCGAAGAAGCCATTGCCAAATGGTCGCGCCATGTCGTGAATTGGCAGAAGTTAGAATTCAAGGACCATTGGATCGGGTCCCAGTCGCCTTGTAACCAGAAGGTCTTGGGTTCGAAACCCAGTGATTGAGTCGGTCGGTCGGTCGGTTTTCGACATAGAACTTTGCACATATGTGCGGCAGTTCAAGTCGCCACAATCTATGTAGCACGCAAAGCAAGAGAAGAAAGTAGAAGAAATGCATAGTATAGACAGTAAACAGAGGTGTGAGACAAAGGAATAGTAATAACGGAGAACAAAAGTTTAATTGGAAATCATAAGTCACAAGGAGTGGATGCATCTGCGCCACTGAGAACGATTTTGAGCCATGTCACCAATTGTTTCCAACCATTGGTTTTTACCATCCCGAGGGCCCCAACCAGGAAGTCTACATCTTCCTACGTGGCTTAGATTAACTGTTGTGGATTTCATTGATTGGTGCCATGTTTTGGTTTGACCGCCGCTAGCTCTTTTCCAGCCTGACCCTATATCAGCTAACATTGCCCGTCGAGGAAGGCAATGACTAGGCATACGTAGCACATGTCCTAACCATCTCAGTCGAAGTAATTTCACAGTCTCGTCGATTGATTTCCCCTCCTTACCTAGCACTCGACGCCTAACCTCAATATTGCTCACTCTATTATACCACTTCACGCGGGAGATAGAACGCAGACACCTATGATCAAAGACAGCTAGCTAATCTTTTCATGTCTTCTGCTCTCAATGGCCAGGTCTCACAGCCATAAAGGAGGACGGAGCGGACTGTTGAGCAGTACACACGCCCTTTGGTCGATAGTCGGATATCGCGTCTACGCCAGAGACGGCGAAAACTGGCGAATGCGAACCTAGCCCTCTGTATTCGTGCTGAAATTTCGTCGGAGATCAACCCGTTGGGGCTGATGGTACTTCCCAAGTAAGTGAAGCGGTCAACGTGTTCTACCACTTCACATCCTATTTCTAATCTAGGGGTCGATGAAGTCCAATCCTGCAGCATCATCTTACATTTTATAGGGGCGAATCGCATGCCAAACATGCGGAGATTGTTGCTCAGGGTGTTCAGTAGACTCTGGTTGAGTACTGGCAAATAGTCCCAAACTAGGATGAAACAGCTGTCCAGTACTGCGTGCAGGTTTTCCAGTGGTTCTCGAACTGATGTCAGCTCATGATGAAATCCTTCATGCAATCAAAGAAATTCCCTACAAAACCAATACCTGAAGATCTATTGGTTTTTCCGAAACTGAGCCAATAGTTACATTTTCTGAAAGTATTGCTTAAGCTTGGCTTGGTAATTGGTTTCATTCTTTCTTCACCCACTTCATTGACTTTTAGTCATTAAAAGTGGCTATTTACATTTATATTTGTCAAAAAATAAATTCCCGAAAATTACCCATCCAGACATGAATATAGGAACGAACAGTTCAGCGAAGAGTCTTTTTCGGCGAATTCATTCACTTAGCTGTACAATCACAATTATGTATAATTATTCTTTGTATGTGTGTGTACATTGGGTTTGTCAGACAAGAATAAAAAGCTATTTAGGTTTGTTGTTTACTTCATCAAAGTGTTTCAAAAAATGTGATGAATAATCAAATTACAACTAGGGAGGGGGGTCGGGTGAGGATTAATAAGTATTGACGAGGGTTACGTAATATGAAAGACACCCAGAAAAAGAGGATTTCGATGAGGGAGCATGGAGACAAGTGTCCAAAACAAATTACGCAATAGGTAGAAAGAGTAAATAAAGGGTTAGTGAAAAAGGTGTTGCCAAGATGTCATACTGGAATTCAAAAATAGTATCAGTAACAAAGCAGTCAAACTTCGCATTATACCCAAGTTAGAAGGAGGGGATGGAAAAGTTTCTTCTCTGTACATAAATCAGGGTTTTCCATCCGGATCGCTAATGCCTTGGCAATGCAAAGTATACGGAAGCTTACAGTTTTCGGGAGGCTTCTTTTGACTTTGTAAATGATTTTGAATGAATTCTCCCTACATATGGAGTGACCAGTGTTAAATATATGTTCAATTATAGCACTCTCTATTGATCCACTGTTCCCTTTTCGAACAACCTATATATCTCGCTCAGCGTGAGCAAGTAAATTGGTTGATACACATAGAAGTAGTCAGATGCGATAGTTTATCTTTGGAGTTGTTGAAGAACAATAGGCAGCATGAGAATACTAATCGAAGTGTAGCAGCAGAAAATGTTCTTTTCAGGGCATTAGATATTCTGCTCTTTAGGATGTCTGCCAGAAGATCGCGTTTGAACGCCACATTCATGTATAGTATCTTCTCCGGCAAAGAGATAAGTTGCTCTTTGTTGATTTTGAGCTTTATATGTTTATCTGTATAGTGTGGTGGATAGGCATTCTCAAGTAGTGTCTTCCTCAAAAGAGTGATCTCTTCTTCTACTGATTCAAGGCTGCGTATTCTGTGGATTCTAGTCGCAAGAGATATTATCAGGTTTCGCTTGCGATTGATGGGTACCCAATTGTAGACGTTTGTAAAATAGCTGTTCCACGTAGGCTTTGGGTATACTGATATGTTCAAAGTTCTTTGTTAGTCTGAAGTCCAGATATGAGATTTTCTGTTCAGTTTCTACTTCATTTGTAAATTTGTACGTTATTTAACTTGAAGTACGTAATTTAGGCTATATTTGTCATCACAGATGACGAAAGTGTCATCGACGTACCTTTCGTACAGAGAAAAGTTATCGATAGTCGGTTTCAGTGGAACATTTTCCAAAATTGCGGTGAAAATATCTTCAAGTAACGGGCCTAAAGGTTAACCCATAGCCACATCATCTTAACTGATTAGGTATGTGATAGTAAACTGCGCCGTTATAAGACCGACAATTAAATGATTTTGACGTTATTACGTTGTCTAATTTGGACGTGTGAACTACGAAACTGTTGTTGTCTTTTCCGACCATATTATTAGTTCTAGATTGATAATGGTAGTGAAAATAAAAACACCATAAAAGTTCACTTGGAGTTATTTAGCTGATAGGGGCTAATAGTTGAATTTACGACTCGCATTTAGTTCTATTGATGTAAGTATAAAACTTGGGCACTATGGTAGAGTATAACTCCATTATAGGTAAGATTTTATTTTGATAAATCACACAGTGTTACACAGTAATATCAACGGATGACGTTTCGAGCACAAACTATCGCTCATAATCATATCAATTTACTCACACAACTTTTTTTCCTTCATTTATATATACATATGTGGAATTGACTAGATATTTAAATAAAAAATCAATATAGGATAATGTATATTCAGGAATAATAATATGAGTGTTATTGATCAATTACAATCAGATGGGAAATAAGACGAGTGTTTTTTTTTTAAAATTCATAATAAGTAACTTGTTAGAATGTTGTGATGTGTTTGAATTGAAATAGAATTTTGAGATTATTTATTATCCTCTTCTGATTTGACTGTCAGTAATAATATCTTCCATATTTCTGGTATTTGCATTGAGTCATTTCTGTTGCATGTGTTGGGTGTAGACTCGATGAACCAGTCAAGATTCAGTAATCAATCTCTCTCTATCCACCTACAGAGATTACTTCTCCCACCCTATTGTGTGGTTTTGTGTTAATGCATGTAGTTCTATTTGGGACTCGTTACCTTTGTCCCAGTGAGTGATGATGTGCTCACTAAGACTGGAAACCTTCACCCATTGTTACAAACATTAAAGCTGCATTCAATAGACTACTAAGTCTCGAAAATATTCGCTTGATTTGCAAATTTTCTCCAACATTTCATAATAAACTGTTAGTGAATGTGAAAAAAATAATTATGTCACTTTGTAAATTCAGTGTGCATATATTATTCATTGGCCTGTATTCTTAATACTTGTGTTATGTATTAATTAAGTAGGGTCGTCCGTCATCTAATATCTCATTGAAGGTCTATAAACCTGTGATTGGCTGAATTCAACTTTGGTTTTTGTTGTTCTGTCTTTGCCATTGTTTTAGGTCAATCGACTAAGGTTTCATCATTAAAATTACAATATTTCTTAACTATGTATACAATGAAACAGTTTCACTTAACAGCAGTCATGTAAGGTTAGCTGACGACGGTGTATTTATAAATTTTTTAAAATAAACAAATAGGCGAATAAAATTATAGATTATTGATTAATTAGGCAATCGATTACTTCACTGGTGTTGACTGTTGGTTGTTTTGTTTTTTTTCTGTAAAACTTTTATCAGGTTCTGTTGTATGTATCTGATCTCTCGAGAAAACGATATGGAACACTAAATAGGAAATATTTACTATATTTCTGGTAAGAATATATTTTTTTACTTGCTCTTTTGTATGACAATTTTTAGTTTCGCACTCATGTGTTATGACAGTCTTTTTTTAACAAAGGTGAGAAGAAAACATTTCCTAGTGAAATTTTCACATTGATTAGTAGTATCCCATTTTCTGTTTTCCGACTGGTCAATTGTTTGGCCGTTAATTCGTTTCCATCCTGTGTATTCGATCCCCCCACCCCTGCCCTTTACAGTATTCATGGAGAGCAAAAGTTGGGTAGTGTACACTCCAACTGTTTAAATACTGTGATTGATCTCTGCGATAGCTAACCAACAAAGTACTGTTTGACAGAATTTACTCACTTATTGAAAATAAAGTGGCGTAAACTGTTCCTAAGCAGCGGAACACTCCAGCGAATTGTAAATCTGTGTTTTATGAATGCCGGTTCAAGTTGGCACCGACATAGTGTTGTAAATTCTTAGTGGATATGCGGCTCATACCTGACTGTATAGAAATGCAAATAGTTCATAAGTGATATATATATATATATATATATATATATATATATATGAATTCTAAGGTTAATCTTGATAACTGGCTGGCTGGCTGGATTCAACATTGAACTTGGCACTGAAGTGCAGCAGTTGTAGTTGCCACGTTCCAAATAGCACACAAAGGTACACAAGAAAATGAGTGAAGAGAATCAATAGAGTTTTGACAAGTATAAGAGTGAAACAGAATGAGTAATAGTAGAAAGGAATATGGAAGATTACAGAGACTGAATACATCTGCGTAAGCCATTGACAACGATTTTGAGCCATGTCACCTATTGTCTCCAGCCGTTGATTGATTCTTAGAGTCCCGAGGGCGGGCCCCAACCCGGAAGTCTGCATCTCCCTCGCCACCTGACTCAGTTTAACTGTCAAGGATTTCATGGATTGATGAGGCCATGCTTTTGTTGGGCCACCGCTTACTCCTTTCCAACCTGCACCTATATCAGCTAGTAATGCCCGTCGGGGGAGGCGATGGTTAGGCATGTGCAGCAAATGACCTAGCCATCTCAATCTATGTAACTTTATAGCCTCATCGATTGATTTTCCCTCTTTGCCCAACACTCTACGCCTAATGTCAACATTACTTACCTTATTATACGGCCTAACGTGAGAAAGAGATCGTAGACATCTATGATCAATAATAGACAACCTTTTCATGTCTTCAACTCGTATTGGCCATGTTTCAGAGTCATAGAGAAGGACGGAGCGAACTGCTGAGCAGTACACACGTCCCTTGGTTGATAGCCGTATGTCACGCCTACGCCAGAGATGGTGTAAGTTAGCGAAAGCAGCCCGAGCTTTTTGGATCTGTGCTGAGATTTCATCACCAATCATCTATCCGTTGGTGCTGATACAACTTCCCAAATAGGTGAAGTGGTCAACATGTTCTATCACTTCACTCCCCATCACTATGCTAGGAGTTGACGTAGTCCAGTTCGGTAGCAGCATCTTACATTTTACAGGGGCGAATCGCATGCCAAACATACGAAGATTGCTACTCAAGGTGTTCTGAATCTTGATAACATATAAAGTAAATTCAATAAGCGCACGAATTCTCTTGTTAGAAACCTGCCCTGGTGATTAAGACAATAGAAACGTACACAATAGTGATAAAAGGCTGCTATTTCAGGTAACATGAATAAATTATAGCAGGATATCTAGTTGGTTAAATAATACATACTGCATCATAAGCACAGTGTATTATAAAAATCCTGCGGTCAAATTTCGCTATTCATTTTCTGAATTGTTCCGTTGCCACTTATCAAATTAGGTTGATAGACAAATACGTATCGAAGCACTGTTTCTTACTTTATATAATTGTTTAATGTATATCATACTTTATATAATTTTTGGTTCAATTTTAACTAATGTCACTTGTTTCTTCTACTGATACTTTAGTGATGACAGTGTCAAAAACTTCTCATTCTGTTACGAAATTCAAGTATTGGTTTGTAGGGATTTGGTTGATTGGTTACAGGATTTCATCATTAGCTGACATTGGTTAGAGAACCATTGGAAAACCTGGGAGTACTGGACAGCTGTTTCGTCCTAGTTTGTGACTCTTCATCAGTACGCACCCACTGGGGTTCGAACCCAGGACCTTCTAGTTACAATGTTTTCCAATGGTTCTCTAACCAATGTCAGCTCATGATGAAATCCTGTTACGAAATTGTTTGAAGCCCTTTTCAATCAGTTGAGTATTTTAGACTTTATAAAAGTATAACGCCCTTTCTGCTCTTATTTCCTTTCTTCGATACGAGGGAATCTTACTCTCACTTAATCAATTATTATTCGACAGTGTACTTTGAAGCGATATGAGTTAGTTTTTAGAGTACAATTTCGGGGGGGGGAATATTTAACATTACCTACCTACTTACTTACTTACGTACTTTGTTGACTACTTTAACTGCCCTATGGTTCGAATCCTGGTGTCGTCATCTGCAACAGCAATTGAAATAGACCGAGTCTGACAATAAATACATAATAATGCTGTTCAAGGATAGCCTGCAGTTTTATACAAATGACAATGAACTATGTCTATTGTGTGATACGACCAGCGGTACTATCTGGTTACCGAAACCATGGTAAGTAAAGCGGGGTTTGAACCGGGGGACTGAGATTTTGGAAATCAATTACCTAGAATAGTGAGACTCACTTTCACCGACTAAGCTTTCGGAACATTCCAAAATAATTTAAGTTATTATAGCATAGTAAGTTTTCAGTTATTTCTTAATTGATTGTAAAAGTACCGATTTACAGTGGTATATGATATTGTTTGATGATTTCAGTATGTCTTACTACATATTCCAACAATCATGCGAATGATGAAAGTGAGTAGCAGAAATACTACAATTGCCTTTCCATGTTTCAAGGTTGCCTTATTATTGTTGATTATCTGTATAACTGACCCTAATGTCCAGTCAGAGTATTCATTACACTTGTAAAGGAGGACAGTCTTAAGCCCGAACGGGTCAGTGGTAACCTCCCCCCCCCACTGCAACACTGGAAGGGACATGAGAGTTCCTTCAAGATAGCGGATACGCCTTGCTGATGACTGCCAACAAGCACCGAAGTCTAGATCCAAAGCTTCCTGCCTATAGCTCCGGACCCGCCTTACAACAATTTATAGTGCACTGTAATGTCGAGCCACCTAGCACAGTGGCTGATAGAATTCAGTCTACACAGAACAAAAGACTAGACGCATGACAGGTGATTATGATAGGTGGACATCAAAACTGGAGATAGAAATCAATCAATAAGGTTTCAAATATCTTATGCACAGCCTACTCAGCCAAAAATAGAAATAAATCACATGAATGTGAATGTGAGTATCTGAATGCAACTGAACATGTTATTCTGTATGTTAGTGTAAAAAAAACTGCTAGGTAGGGTTTATTCGATAGAGTAATGCGGAAATGTTTGGATGAATATTTTGAAATCTGAGTATTTTAATGAGTTAGTATTACAATTCATGCATAAAACTTGATGTATCATATCAGGTATTTTATGAAAAAACCTCAGTCATAGACGAAATTTCACCTTGGTTTGTGTAGAAAACCCAAAAAAAGTATTTCCCATATAGTATGCCTGCTACTTGACTCTTATATATTCAGAGCAGGAAGTCAATATGCTGCTTATTGATATGCGTGTAGGATAGTAGAACTAACTTTACTCGATGTGCCAATATCTAAAGATTCAACTGTATTTTATTGTACATAGGTCATTATTTTATCAGTTGCTAATTAATGCTCGATATAGTGGCATCATTTAGTTATAAAAAAAGCTCAGCATGTGTGTACTTTAACATTTTTCTGGATCGATTAGCCTGTATTTATTTTTTGATAACGCAGACTGTAAATACAAGTCAACATGCTCGTTATCCTTCAAAAAAAAAATACATACAGTCAATATTAATAAGCATCAATATATATATATATATATATATACCTGATATGCTATCTGAGTGTCTTCGTTTGATTGATTAAAATTAAACCTTCGGTAGATAACGATTGGTTTCTAAAGTAAAAAAAAGCAAATTAACAGTTTCTACTAGTCTATTGCAAAAACTATTTGATATTCCCATTGTTGGAATTTAAGACAAAACATAAGCGTACAATATTGATTTCAATGGAATCTTCAAGCTTTGCCTAGATGTATTATTACTATTATTATTATTATTGTTCCCTTGGGTTCCTAGTGGAACATAGGGCTTCAACTGCACGTCTCCACTTTCTTCTGTCTTCTGCTGTACTAATCACCTGTATCCATGTTATTCCATACTGTGTCAACTCTTCTTCACACGATCTCCTCCATGTCACCCTTGGATGTCACACTCGCCGTTTCCCTTTCGGGTTCCACTTGAGGGCCTGACGCGCAATGTCACCCAGCGGCCTCCTCAGCGAGTGTCCAGTCCATCTCCACTTTCTCCTGCATATTTGTTGGACGATTCGTTCTTGTTTTGGTTGTTCCCATAGTTTCTTGTTGGTGATTCCTTCCGGCCATCTGATTTTGAGTATAGTACGAAGACAGGCATAAAATGGACCGACACAAAAGCTTTGGAGGATTTGGATTTCGCCGATGATATATGTCTGATTTCCCACAAACTGGAAGATATGCAAGTGAAAAGCAACAAATTGGCAGAAGAAGCAGCAAAGACTTCAAGTGAACATAGACAAAACAGAGGTAATGAAGATTCCTGGCCAACATCAACAGCAACAACCGACAACAATCAGCATAAATGGGAGGAACCTGAAGGAAACAACTTCTTTCACCTACCTGGGAAGCATCGTCTCAACTACAGGAGGAACTGACGAGGATATCAAAGCCAGAATCGGAAAAGCAAGACAAGTTTTCATTTCTCTCAAGTCTATGTGGAGGTCAACAGCATTCAGCGTCAAAAATAAGATCCGTATTTTCAACTCCAATGTGAAGTCAGTACTACTATATGGATCAGAGACTTGGCGTGTCACAAAGA